TTTACAGAACTCTATATCTAATAATTGTAAACCACACATGATTTTCCAGTTCACATAGTACATTCAACAGAATTTAAACAGGTCACCATAAGTTTAAAGATATTGAAGTAAGAGTGCATTTTCTAATCATGATAAAATAAAATTAAAAACCAATAATAACAAGATGTTTAGGAAAAATCAACCTTGAAAAGTAAGCAACGCACGTAATCACTCCAGGGGAAAACTAAATCAAGGGAAATTAGAAAATATTTGGACTAAATGTTAATGAATAGACAACATATCAACATTTGTGGGATGGAAGGGAAGGGATGCTTAGAGAACACTAATAGCTTTAAAAACCTACTTCATGAGGTTCCATCTTAAGAAATTAGAAATAGGGGCATCTGGGTGGCTCAGTCGGTTAAGCATCTGCCTTTGGCTCAGGTCATGATCTCACAGTTTGTGGGTTCGAGCCCTGCAACGTGCTCTGTGCTGACAGCTAGCTCAGAGCCTGGAGCCTGCTTCAGATTCTCTATCTCCCTCTGTCTCTGGCCCTCCCCTGCTCATGCCATCTCTCTCTCACACACACAAATAAATAAAAACATTTAAAAAATTTAAAAAAAGAAATTAGAAATAGAGATAAATTTTACAATAAGTACAAGAAAGAAAGTAGTAAAAGTAAAAGCAGATATGAAAGAAATAAAATATAGACAGATAGTAATTAGTAATGTTAAAACCTCAAAGATCAGCAAAATTGGTAAACCCCTACCTAGACTGATTACAAAAAATAGAGGGGGCATAGAAGATCAACATCATAAATGAGACAGCATTTTTCACTGCAGATAACAAAAGACCATTATGCATGAACAATTCTATGCCAACAAATGTGACAAAATGAAGTAGATAAATGCCATGAAAACTGTAACTTACCAAAATCAACACAAGAAAAAAAATACAAAATACAAAAATATCTATATATGTTAAAGAAGTTAAATTCATTATCAAAAGCCTTCCTAAAAAGGAAATCTCAGATCCAGATGGTTTTGTTGGTGAATTCTATCAAATATTCCAGGAATAAGTAATATAAATTTTACACACACTTTCTTAGTAACAGAAGAACAAACTGTCCAAATAATTTAATGAGACCAGTATAACCTTAATAATAATAATAATAATAATAATAATAATAAAACTTGATAAAGTCACTACATGGAAAGAAAATTTTAGGAAAATATACCTCATGAATATGAGTAGATACATACATCTGATGAAACTAGACAAAAAATTCCCTAGTAAATATTAACAAATCAAATCCAACAATACAAGAAAAGGATATTACATCACAGATCTGTATGAGAAATTCAAGATTAGCTACTCTTCAAAAATCAATCAATATAATTCACCATATTAAAAATAAAAATAATAAAGGAGGAAAAAGAGCTAGAGACTTATTATACAAAAATTCAACAAGTATTCATGACAAAAATTCCCAGAGAGCTAGCAAAAGTAGATAACTTCCTCTAGCTGATAAGACACCCATGAATAATCTATAGCAATATCCTATTTTATGCCCCCACTAAGATCAGGAACAAGAAAAAAATCCCTGCTTCCACCACTTCTATTCAATATTTTACTAGAGATCTTAACCAAGAGAAGGCAAAAGAAAGAAATTGAAAAGCAGGAGATCAGAAATTAACTGTAAAGTTGTTCCTACTTACATATGATATGCTTGTGGAAATTCTCAGAGTATTCTACCAGTAGAACTAATAAGTGAATTTAACAAGTCTTATCACACTAGATTGATGTTTAAAAACAATCATATTCTTCTAAACTAGCAGCAAACAGCTGGAAAATAAACTCGAACAACCCATTTAAAATAGTTAATATACACACATATAAAGAGGGACTAAATTTAATAAACACACACATATATAAATCTAATATGTATATTTTGATTAACAAAAAACATTCAAGATTTCCTATATAGAATACTATAAAATATCACTGAGAGAAATTAAAGAAGAAATTTGAAAAACACAGTTTCCTGTATGCCAGTTATACCACAATAAAGCTCATTTAAAAACTAAAAAAATGGTATGCTTTAGATATATACAGTTTATACACATACAAATACTTCCATAAAGATGTGAGGGAGATAAATTGATCAATCAATAGATTGATGAATAGGTTAGTAGGTAAACAGTGAGTTTTTAAAAGGGGGACTTGGTTTCAAATTACTTTTGCTAAACATTTGCTAGAATTCAAATCTTATGGATCTATACCATGTGTATACATCAAAGGTGGCATTTAGGGCTCTTAAACTAAGAGGAATACGATGTCAAAGATTAATTATAAACATCTAACAGTACAACATTGGCTAATGAAACTCTATGTCTACACTAGGTAAGCTTTGTTTAAAATCAGGCAACATTAGAAATTGTTCAAAACATTCTTGTATTTATTGCCCTCAAGCAGATCACAGTGCCTGGTGTCTAAATATTCAATTATTATGCCTGATAAACAAAATGCTATTTGAAAGTTCTGGTCTCCTATCAAAGAGAAGAGGAAGTTTATTTGTCAATTATAAACCAAATCGCTTTTTTATAGTCTAAAATACAACCATGACAATTGAAGTTATAGCTGATGCTATGCTTTAATGGGTTATAACTTTCCTTAATTCATTTTTAATTGTAAAACTGTTATACAGTCCTTAAAAAATATATTCCACTATTTAGCCAAAGTTTATGTTAGACATCTTACATTCTACTTTTGAAAAGATAAAGGATTCACTCAAGTCCACATCCAAACTTTGCAAAGAAACCGATTGCTTTCTTTATTCTTTTCAACATTAAAATAAGCATGCTAGGTTCATACTATCTTTTTGATAGATAGATAGATAGATAGATAGATAGATAGATAGATAGAGGGATATAGATATAGATGTGTTTAATATATACTTTGGGTTAATAGTGATACACATGTTGAAAAAATACCGGTTTTTCTGTCTAACTATGCAGATACTTGAACAATATTTCGTATTTTATGTTAAGACATAGGACTGCATTAGAAGAGGATCTGCTGGTAGAGCTTAAATATGTATGTATATATCCATATGTATATGTGTGTATGTGTATCTGAAGGTATGTATGTAAATCTTTTCCCAGATAAGTTTTAAAGTGTAATAAACACATGATTATCTACCATAGAGATAGGTTCATATCCATTTTATCTTTAACAGTTTTCTTAACTCTCTAAACAAAGAGAGCTTGTTTTCTTTGTAAGCATTTGGAGAGATTTCCCTGTGGCAATCTCCCAAAAGCCTGCATTTTGCTAGCCTGGGAGACTCCTGGACAGTCTGCTCGTAGTAAAGAACATCATTACCAAAGGGACACAATGAAGCAATGTTGTTTTCCTTCATGACTTCATTCTGACTTTGTACCACATTCTCATTGCAGCAGAGCCTGAAAACGGCTGTGGGGATCTCTCCCTCTGCTGGGTGGCATCAAGATCAACTGTTAGAGAAGAAGCCCAGTGAATAATGGATAAATGACAGTCCTTTGACACAGGTCCGACAGTCATAAAATATGTTTTGTGATTGCCTTAACATTCAAACTCAGGGACTGACTAAGAAGAGTATTTCTAAATGCCAAGCTAACTAGAATTGTGGAAATTTTCAGTAGGTGCTATTCTTATTAGTGTTTGAGGCAATTATAGAGAGAATGGGTCAGTGTAATTTTCCTCCTGTACTGAGAAAATCTTTTCTTGCTACTGCAGGGAAAGGTATTCAAATTCAAATCAAGTTTCTCATCACAAATGTTCTGTTTGTGAGAGAAATTACAAATAAGTAGCATCCCCTATTTCCACGAATCAGGTAATATTCCCAGTGAGGAGGTCAACGTGCTTTACTGCAAATAATATAGAGTTAAATCAATGGGTACAATCAACTTGCTTTGTGTTTTATGAGACTGGTTTAAGTTTTTAGCAGCCTATGTATCACATGCATTCCTCTGATTTTTCTCTTTAATGATATAATCTCTTGTTATACTATGGAAACTCATTTATAAAATGGATATGAACACTTTGATTACACATTAGCCCTCTGTAAATAAACAAATTTTCAATGAATTAGGAAATGTCATAATTCAAGTAGTGTATTTAGTCAAATGAGGCTGAAGATGATAAGAGGTTGGAATGCATGCAGAGAGGAGTTTGGCAACTAAGTTTCCAGGCTTGATTGAAAATTCCTTGTTTTTGGGACGCCTGGGTGGCTCAGTTGGTTAAGCATCCGACTCTTGATTGCAGCTCAGGTCACAAGCTTGCAGTTTGTGAGTTCAAGCCCCAAACTGGGCTCTGTGCTGATGGTGTGGAGCCTGCTTGGGATTCTCTCTCTCCCTCTCTTTACCCCAAGCTCCCCCACCCATCCCCCAGCTTGTGCTCTCTCTCTCTCTCTCTGACTCAAAATAATAAACATAAAAAAAGAGAGAAAATTCCTTGTTTTACCTTTTGTTTTATGGTCATAATGATACTGCCACAAAGTTTTGCCTCTAAATACTAAGGGACAAGAAGGCAATGTGACTAGATAATCCAGTGTTAAAGAAAAATTGACAGAATATCTTCCTAGTGAGAAAAAATGAAAAAAAAATGTTGACTTTATTTTTATAAGAATTAAGAGTAGAAGTTTCTACTCACCAGGGAAAAGGAAATTAATACAATTCACTTTTTGTATCCTATAGCACATAAACAAGAGTACACAGCTCAGCACCTACTGTTGTGAATGTCTCTAGATAAAATTCCCCAATGCAAAATTCAGAGAAGAAAACGTGTGTGTGTGTGTGTGTGTGTGTGTGTGCGTGCGTGTGTGTGTAGACTTACAAGAGATAGAAAAAGAGACTCGTTTTAAGAATTAACATGTTCTACAAATTAAAATCAAATTCCGAAGAACAATTTTTCAAACAAGAAAAGAAAGTAATTTCAAACAAATCATTTTTTCTTTTAATAGAATAAAAACCATAGCTACTCACCCAACCTCTCAATAGAATAATATCGCTGTTTACTATCCACACGCACTGTCTCGGCATAAGGGCTCCCAACACCATAACCAATTATGTAACCTCGCACCACAATGTTTGGGTTCAAGGGAGGAGTCCAACTCATGATGATGCAATTGGTCTGGGGCCTCACGTGAAGAGAGCTTGGCTGGTCAGGGACTTGAGACTCTAGAATTCAAAAAGAGGCATCATCAACCTGTCTCATAATAGACCAAAGAGCATGGCAAAGCTTCCCATTTAAAGGACACTTACCACATATCCCATGGATTCCCAAATGGTGCATCACTTACTGCTCAAGTTCCCCTTGGTGTCAGCATGTGATACATTTTACATGTTTGATTTGACTTTCACAGAATTTCTTAACTACGAGAGGGCACTGAGTTCCTTCCATAGCCATGTACCATCATGCTCTTTATTCTAATAGTTTTTTTCTCCTTTGGGCTGTTTTCTCCCTCATATAACTCTTCTTAGGCATCATCACTAATGGGTGAAATCAAAGAGGATGTAAGAATAATAGGAAGGGATATGAAATGTCAAAAATGGTCTTGTCCAAGGATTATTTTACTCTGATTTAACTAAAACCAAAAATAAAGCAGTCCTTTCTCAAATTGTCGGGTGAAACAGGTTAGGGCCATGATTTGCTCAGCATGATTAAGATGGTACCTGACCCATAATTTAGCACATCTCTGAAAAGTGCACTCATTGTTGAAGAAAAAGAGACAGTGGCTGAGGTGGTAGTCACACAGACTTTGGAGTGTGCAAATTTTGTTTAATACTGGGCTCTGTCATTTACTAGCTGTGCACCCTCATAAAGTTATTTATCTTCTCGAGATTCCCTTCTAATTAAAGCGGCATTCCAAATATTGATGGCCTCAAAGCCTGAGCTCTGAAAATAAGAGTTCCAATCTGCACTGTACACTCAGCATCTCAGAGAGACTTTAAGACCTTATTTGTCCTAAGCCTCTGTTTCCTCACATGTAGAATGAGGCTAAGGACTGTAATGTTCTCATAGAGTGCTGATAAGACTTAGTGAGATAAAGCATAAAAGCATTCTCATTATGAGTAGCACCAACTCATGTTAGCTGTTAGGGAGTAAATGTAAATGGTACTCTCTGACATAAATTTTCTTTGAAGGAGGGTATGTACTGAAAATTAATAAATTAGCATTCTGACTTTTATATCATCTTTCTTCTCTCTGATCCTATTGCTAAAGAAATGATGCATTTTCTGGATGATTATCATTATTAAATTATTATATATTTATGAACACCAACTATGTTGGGGGAATGGGGCAAGGTAGCCATGATGATCAGGATACAGGACAAGAGAGAATATGGCAAACATAAAACATGCACTCGGAGTTTATAGTTTAATGGGAAGACAAGTAAAAATGCAGTTATAATATACCATGATAAATATTTTGATAGGGTTAATACAGGCATATGTAGCCTAGTTTTGGAAACTCACGTAAGTATTCTGGGAAGGTATTTAAGCAAGAATGTGCCCATCTAAAGTTTAATAGTCAATTAAGTGATTAGCACAGTTCCTGGCAATTAATGGGTACTCAAAAATATTAGTAATTTGAACCTTATTCACACTACTTGTGTTTTTCTCTCTCTCTTTCTGTCTTTCTTTCATTCTTTCTTTCTTTCTTTCTTTTTCCTGTTTTCTTTTTTGTAGTTTTTTGTTTTTTTTGAGTGTCAAGAGAGGCAAAGCATGAGCAGGGGAAGGGCAGAGAGAGAGAGAGACACAGAATCCGAAGCAGGCTCCAGGTTCCAAGCTGTCAGCGCAGAGCCTGAGGTGGGGTTCGAACTCACAGACTGTGAGATAATGACCTTAGCTGAAGTTGGACACTCAACTGACTGAGCCACCCAGGCACCCCAATTCTTTCTTATTTTAAATAATATTTTTATTTATATTTGAGAGAGAGAGAGAGAGAGAAAGTGGGAGAGGGGCAGAGAGAGAGGGAGATACAGAATCTGCAGCAGATTCCAGCCTCGCAGCTGTCAGCACAGAGCCCGATGTGGGGCTCAAACCCATGAACCATGAGATCATGATCTGAGCTGAAGTCAGAGACTTAACCAAGCGAGCCATTCAGGCAAACCCATTATTTCTTTCTTAACTGATAATCTCTAAAGGTAACATATGTCAGATTATGTGAAAGAATTTGATGATTAAAGGTATGTTGCAATATATTTGTTTCCTGGATGTAATAGTAAAAGGTGATATGATCTCTATTACCAACTTTATCCACCTTCGTAATGCATCAAGCTTCTAGCTTAAGTGATATATAGGAACATGTCTTTTATTAAAGTTTTTAAAGTAGGTCCCATACTAACAGCTTTTCAGAAGATGCTACATTCTCAAGATGTTATATCAGCAGCATTTTCTAAAGAGCTTTTTTTTTTTTTTCCCTGAAGATGCCCATTTGTGACAGAAAGGGAGGTTTTATCTGTCTGCTCTGAAGAAGCCTGTGATATAATATGCAAAGAAATAAAAAATTATCTCAAAATGTGAATATAAACCTTAACAGAAACACAATGTTTGTGAAAGTTTTCCCCTATAAACCCTAAGTAAAAGTAATAAAAGAGATAAAAGGAATGGATTAATACTTTTCAACTCTACTGCCACAGAGGCTCTCCAGTGTCCTTGAAATGTAATGGGTTCTGCAAGGAATTCTGTTTAACACTTTTGAAGTTTTGCAGTAATGAAAACAGCAAGACAATCTCCCTAATCTTACATTTAGAAAATGAATTCAGTGCTATGACTTTTTAAAGACAATATGAAAACCTAATGATTTTAATCACAATATTCAACATCTTTTAGAGCAAAGGGAAAAAACTATTTAAAATGTTTCAAAACAATAAATTTCTCCATCTTTCTGCAAACCATAGAGTAGTTCCTTTGCAAGTTAGTAAGGTTTGTACCCACAGAATTACATCGCTTGGAGCGTTATAAAGGGACTATGGTAACAAGTGCACAAACTGGCTTTTGAAGAGGGGCTGTTGGTACACATGACATCTTTTTTTTCAATGTATGGAAGTAGTTTTAATCCTAGTTCTGAACTCAGAACTATTTTCACATGATAAAAAATAAGGGTGTCAATATGTAAGAAAACATGCTGGCTCCCCATGTAAATATTTAATGGGATTTTACCTCCCTTAAGATCATAGGGCCATATGAAAAGGTGCCTATCAAGGCAGTATGAGACATAACCCATTTATAATATATAGCCTCATCATAAACTTAACTGTGTTAAGAGATTGTTCATGATCCAGAATAGCCTATTTGTACTCACCTACCCACTTCTTAATATAGAGACAGAAATGACATTTTCCTTTTATGCTGCCTGAGCCAGTTTTCTCTAACACAGATGACCTTATGGATTAGGAAAATGGTTATATTGGAATGAACTATAAAACATCAATTCAGAAAATTTGCCATGAAAGTATGTAACATGATTCCTCTCTGTTTGAAGGCTGAAACTGTAATTCACTACTCAGAAGTACATGAAAGATTTTATAAGTAGCTCTAGGACAATATTGAGCATATAAATCATAGAGAAGCATTAAGGTAATTACGTAAATAATTTGAAACCAAAGAACACATTTTGCCTGAATTATCCAAATTAATGAGCCTCAAATTTCTATGGGAATCTGAACTATCAAAGTAACTAGGTCAACAGCCATTCTTGATTATACTACAGAATTATGGATTCTATCTTGGCTTAATTTGTTCCTAAAGAATAGTTATTATTTTAGGGGGGAGTGCCTGGGTGGCTCAGTCAGTTAAGTGTCCAATTTCAGCTCAGGTCATGATCTCACAGTTTTTGAGTTTGAGCCCTGTGTTGGGCTCTGTGCTAAAAGCTCAGAGCCTGGAGCCTGCTTTGGATTCTGTGTCCCCCTCTCCTTCTGCTCCTCCCCAACTCATGTTCTCTCTCTTAAAAATAAACATTAAATTTTTAAAAAGAATAATAATTATTTTTTGAGTGATGACTGATTTCTACTAATGAGTAGTATTCACATATAGCACATTAGGAAATTTATCATATTAATCCCCATGACATTTCAACAATTACTGTATATCTCCTATGTGCCAGTCATAGTCCTAGGTACTGGGGATATAGTTTTATGGGAAGTAAAACCAATAAAATAAAAAGAAACAAACAAGGAAATCAGAAGATCTTGTAAGTTCCATGCTGATGGAATAGTAACTGACTCAAGGAAGGTATTCATGGTGGGGTCTAAGGTGGATGATTGGAAGGAGCCAGTCAAGCAAATACCAGGGTGGAAAACTTTATAGGAAGAAGGAATAACTGGCACAAAAGCCCTGTAGCAAGAATGAGATTGGTAAATGGAGATATCAAAGGTCATTGTGTCTAGACCACAGAAGGAAAATAAAGAAAATAAAAAGAAAGTTACCCCGTGAGAATTTGAAACAGTGCAAATGCTATGAAAAACAGTATGGCAGTTTTTTAAAATTAGAATTACCAGGGGCACCTGAGTGGCTCAGTCAGTTAAGTGTCCAACTTCAGCTCAGGTCATGATCTCACAGTTTGTGGGTTGGGTTCGAGCCCCGCGTCGGGCTCTGTGCTGACAGCTCAGAGCCTGGAGCCTGTCTTTAGATTCTGTGTCTACCTGTCTGACCCTTCCCTGCTCATGCTGTCTGTATCTTTCTCTCAAATATAAATAAAATGTTAAAAATTTTTTTTTAAATAAATAAATAAATAAATAAGTAAATAAATAAGAATTGCCATAACATCCAGCAATTCCACTTCTGGGTATAATCTCCAAAGAATTGAAAGCTGGTACTCAAACAGATATTTGTACACCTGCACTCACAGTATAATTATTCACAATAGCCAAAGAGTAAATGAAACTCAGGTGTCCATTAACAGATGAATGGATAAACAAATGGGTACATACATAAAATGGGATATTTTTCAGCTTTAAACCAGAAGGTAAAGGGGACCTGGGTGGCTCAGTTGGTTAAGTATCTGACTGGCTCAGGTCATGATCTCACGGTTCGTGGGTTTGAGCCCTGCGTTGGGCTCTGTGCTGACAGCCAACTCAGCCTGGAGCCTGTTTCGGATTCTGTTCTGCCTCTCATTCTGATCCTCCCCTGCTCACGCTGTCTGTCTGTTTGTCTCTCTCTCTCTCAGAAATAAA